TTGCCATAGTCTTTGTCTGAGTCGTCGCCTTAGTCGCCGCCTCCGTCTTCACCTACGTGTTCGCCTCAGTCGACGCCTCAGCCATCGACGTCGTCGTCTCAGTCGCCGTTGTCTTCTTTGACTTCCGTCAGCGTCCATTTCCACCTCCACCTTCTCCTCCTCCTCCAAAGCTCCTTCGCTGACTGCAGCAAGTGCGTCATCTTTGCGTTATCTGCGTATTGGAATTGTGTACGAGAATTTGTATTTAGCTGGCGACTATTCCACTCTTGACTTCCCATTGTCGTTGCCATTGTCATTGTCGCCCACGCCTGGAATTAAGCAGGCAGCCAGCAATAAAAAAGCTGCTTCCAACATCGAGATGTTTTTCATTTTAATTACGCTTTTTATTTGATTGATTCGCTTTGACACATTTTGACTTCAGGCTAAAACATGAAACAAAGAAGAAATGCATAAGGCAAGATTTTTATAGGAAAGTCTTCTTTGTAAAGCATAACTTGAAATTAAAACAAAATAAATTTAAAGTTAAACATACCCGACATTAGTTACTTTTAATATTACTTAATTATTACTTATTACTTAAATATATAAAGGTAAAGATATACATATTTATAACTCAGTTCATTTTCTACACTGTATAAGAAAGTGGTGAACACGTAACACAAATAGTAGTAGGTTATAATAGTAGTAATTTTAATAGTTTGTAGTAAAAGTTTGTAGCAAATAATTATAGGATTAATGGTAGTTGGTAGAAGTAGTAAATAGTGTTAGTAGTAGTAGTTAGTAGTAGTATTTAGTAGTAATCGTAATTAGCAATTGTAGTAGTAGTAGTAGCAGAAGTAGTTACTAGTTGTAGTAGTCAACAATAGTTGTAGTAGTTAATAGTAGTAGTAGTCAGTAGCAATTAGTAGTAGTAGTAGTAATAGTAGCAGTAGTTAGTAGTATTTTTTAGTAATAGTAATTAATAATAGTTGTATTTTTTAATTAACAATAGTTAATAATAATCTTAGGCAGTTATCACAATTGATTCGCAAACTCAACTGAACTCTGACTGAATTATTAATTAATATCATAGTAAAAAAAGCTAAAGAATTGAACGTGGAATTAGAAAAGAGAAAGCCTGGTTCTGTTTAAGAAATGTACTCTCTGATAGTTAGCCAAACAAAACTGATTTCCATGAGCAATAACGAATAATTTAGTCAATTTATGTTCATTTGCTGCATTTGCTGACAAATCGCATTCAAAACTAAATCAAAGTCCATAAAATGTAATTCGAAGCTCAGCTGGTTCTATTTATTGAGTAACTACTGTAGTTGTTGTGGTTGTTCTTGTAGCTGATAGGGCAACAGCCTTGAACAAGTTGTTGTCTCTTGTGATTCATTTGTGAAAAGTGACTAATTTTGTGACTAATCCGACCTGGTTTATGAATGCGAGCGAAGCTTTGCTTACAATATTCAAACTCACTTATGAAAAACCACAGCAAGTCTTTGCAAAATATAAAAAATATTTGGAGCCGAAATATATATATATATTTATATATATATATATAAATCATACGATATATGGCGAAGAATTCAACGAAATATGGCGATACATTCTACGTCACATACAATTCCGGAATATTAACGTGAAGATTTCATGTATTAATATTTATAGTCTTTGATATTTTTTTCATTCAGGGATATTGTTTTTCCTATATTTATATGTACGATAATAGTTTCTAGTCTTCACGGTATGACATTGAAAAGTGTTCAAGTTGCTGATTAAAACTATTGGAAGCCCTCTTGGAATTGGCATATCTCAGTTATCACAAACTCAATATATTAACAACAACAGACAGTTTGGCGAAATGTTCCTTTGCTAATCTTCCTGAACAGAGAGCAATGGGTGCGGCAATTAAGTCACCAATACACACACACAGACACACACACACACACAGAGCAGCATCAGCAGCAGACAACAACAAGCAAAACATCAATTTGTGGGCTGAGCGCATTTCCAGTGAAGATCATTATTGTCTCGCCGCGTCCATGCTGGCGGCGTTCCAAAAAACCCGAAAAAAAAAGAAAAAGAAAAGAAGCAGCCGCAGCAGCAGCAGAAAAAAGCTCAAGCAAACAAGTTAATGAACCGCGGGGATCCTTGAACTCCGCAAGTCGTCCAACTAGTTTTGGCTTGGACACCCCCCTCCCCACAAAATCTGTGGCATCAATTCGCTGGAAATGATCGAAATTTCATTTCCAACGCCAACTTCCAAATTGAGTTCAACAGCATTCCAGTTCTGTATGCGAGCGGCGACTGCGCGGTAACTGCGTGACGACTAACTTTCCATTATCCTTGAGGTTGGAGTCATTGGCCTCGTCTCGCATTACAGCAGCGGACGCAGCCCCCCCTCGCCAACCCATCCAGTTACACACAGCACAGCACTCCAGTGGCCTACTTCCACTTGAATGGAATTAAATGGGAATGGGAACGGTACCAAGAATAGGGCAGAGCAATGCGAATGCGAGTGGGAATGGAAATGTTTGCATTAAAACAAAAGCTTTTGCAACCCCAGCTGGAAGCGATCCTGCAGCAAAAGACAAAGAAATTCACATTTAATTTTTGTCGCATGAAAAAAAATTAATACAAAACAAATGCGAATGAACGAAACGCTTATCTGTGTGCTTGTGTGTGTGTATATATTTTTATTTTTATAACTGACCTCGAACTTTTGTGCAATGTGATTGAACTGCTGCTACTGCTGCGATATCTGTGAGCTGCAGTCCCCCCTACCAATACAATGAACACTTCTCACCACTCTTCGCTCTCTTCTCAATCACTTCCCTTATAGCATTTGCATGCAGACTGCATACAGACGACAGAAAGCCGACGAACACCCGACGAACAGCCGACGGACAGCCGACGAGTGTCGTTCGCAAAAGCTGCTAGGCGATAATGTTGAGCTACGCTTCGGGATCTGAAAATGCTTCGCTGCTTTGCGTTGACAGGCAAATATGGAAATTTAAACGAAAGCGAGAGAGAAGGGCAAGGGAAGTGGTGAATTTGAATGGTAAATGATGATGGCTAGTGAGTGGTGGACTATAGCTATGGTGCGCGGTGAGTGGGAAGCAAAGAGTGGTGTGAAGTGAAGAGTGTGGCGTGGGGTGGGGGTTGTTAAGAAATTGCAGTCGATCGTGGGGTGGGCGTAGTAGTGGCGAATTTGAATGGTAAATGATGATGGCTACTGAACAGCGAGTGAGCAACGGGAGGGGGGAGGAGGTATGCTATAAGCAATTGCAATCGACGACAACGTTAAATGCATAATAAATGCGCGCATTTCAAGTGCTTTGGCAAAAATACAATAAAAATGCGTGCGGCGACTGAAATGCATCTCAATGGAGTTAAAAAAATAAACTAATAAAGCAGAACTAAAGCAAGCAGCGAAAACTGCGTGAAAAAGGCGATAAGCAAGGCGAGTCTGTATGTGTGTGAGAGAGAAAGAGAGAAGGCGAGAACGGTGAGTTAACAAAAGAAGTCGATGAGGAAGAAGCAGAAGAACCCTCCACGCCCATCTCTTCAAAATGAAACAAACAAATTTCATTGACTTTTAACGGATTCGAAGCTGACGTAAAACCAATGCCAGAGTGCGAGAGGTAGAGTGGGTGAGAACGGGGGAGAAAGCGTACGGTACAGTTCTTTATCAGGCATGTTCTGCTTCTTCTTTCACTGCTGCTGTCTAAATATTTAATATTTCTGCGGTTTTCTTTTTGAAAAAAAAGCAAAACACAAAACAGATATCGAAGTCTCGAGAGCAGAGGCGGGGCTCGAAGTCAAAGGAGAGCGGAGGAGTAGTTCACTCGAAGCGCAACCCCTTAAAAAAAACTGGGAGCGCCACTGATCAACAGCAACAACAAACGAGCTCGCAATATGTTTAGCTGACGTCATTTGTCCTTGAAATCGTTTATTTGCCGCCGCAAAAACGAAATTCGCAAAAAATTCAATGCACTTGGCAGCGACGACTATAGCGGCAGATACTCCCCTCCCCCTCCTCTACATACAACGAAGCTGAGCAACACCAAACAAAACAAAGCAAGATAAGACACGCAAGACGAAGAAGAGTGCAGAAGAGAGTGAAAGCAGCAGCAAAAAGCAGACTTGAAACAGAAGCTGTGTGACAACTAATCATCCTATGCATTAATTGCCAAATATATAGATAGACAAAAATAAATCAACTAATTCAGGTTTTCTTGTGTATATCTATAATTTTAAGTCACGATGATTCTTGCGCTTTAATAAATTTTAAATAATTTTATACGTTGGTTATGGCATCGATACTAACTAAATGCATGATTGAAAGCTTATTGCAGTGACACGCGACAAGTGAATTTTGAACAAAAATGTGATTCTCCAATAAATATTAATAAAATGCACTCATTGCAGCTGCGGACTAATTTTTCTTAACAGTAAGAATAGAAAAACAAATTCTTGTTCCTATGCATATCCTTAATTTAAAATAATATTGATTCTGGTGTTTTAATAAATAAAAAAATGATATACATTGGTATTGAAAGCTCATTGCAATGCCACTCAACAAGGGAATTTAGAAAAGAATTTTATAAGAATAGAAAATGATTTCATTGTTTTTCGTTAATGAAAATGCATTAAATGCAGCTGCATGCTGACTGTTTTTTTAAATTAAATAGATAACAATAAGAAATGATTTTAATCAATGGTTATTTGGCTTTCACAAATTTTAAATCGTTTTATCCGTTGGTTTTGGCATCGATAACCAACGATTAGCATGATTGAAAACTCAATGCTGTGACACTCGACTTTAAAACCGATAAGTGGATTTTGGAAGTAATTTTGAAAATAATGTGATATTCTAATAAATTTGCAATTTTCTAAATTTTTCTTACGTTGATGAAAATGTACTAAATGCATTTTCCTTTAACTTAACTTTTTTTGTTGTAAGAAAAATACCCATATTACTATCGATAGTATTTTAATCGCTCTGGTTGCATTTACGTTCTTATCGATGACGACGAAATTGCCAAACATTTGTATTAAGTAGCAAATTTAAGCAGAAAAACAACAGAAATACACCTTATTAACTGTTTAACTGCTGTTTAACAGTAAAAGCAACAAAAACAAAACAAAACACGGCCGAATTACGAAACAAAAGCACAAAAGGAAAACAGCGTTTATTTTCTTTAATGTAGTTGTGCAAGTCAAAGGTTAATGCGTTTGGAGTAACAACAGGCGGGGTAAGTTTTTTTTAGCAATCATTTATTACTGATATCGATAAGCAATGGCAATGGTAAATTTGTTCACAATCTAATGTAGCAGGCATGAATGTGCATGAACACACAATGTGCAGTTATATACACTCTGCCAATGAGTCGAGTGCTTCTTATCAGGCATTTATTTGAACACATAGATTATACGAAAAAAAATTCAAAGTCGAAGTTGAATTTTTTTTTTGTGTTTTATCTGTTTGTTTGCTGCGGAACTTATGCGGCTCATATCATTCACAAGATAAATTAATCTCCACACACACGCACACACACTTTCGTGCAAATGTTTATCTAGCTGCCTGTTTATCCATCTCGTTTTTTTTTGCTACACACACAGCTAACTCAACTGTTTATCGGCCTAAATTGCCAAGCGACAGTAGCGCCATCTAACAGTCGCAATGGGTCAAACGCTGTCGGAGCCTGTCACCGCGAAGGAGTCATCGTATTGCCAGAATTGTCTGTATTGCGTCGGCAGCAGTTGCATGCAGGGCTGGCGCATCAACATGGAGGATTCGCACACACACATTTTATCGCTGCCCGATGATCCGAAGGCGGCCTTCTTTGCCGTCTACGACGGACACGGGGGCTCCACTGTCGCCCAATATGCCGGCAAGCATTTACACAAGTTCGTTCTGAAGCGACCCGAATACAATGGCGATATTCCCATGGCTCTGAAGCAGGTGAGTAACCAATGAATGATAAATAAATAATAGATAATAAATAAGTCAAATGGTAAATAAAATGTTGGTCCGACGATTAGCAGAAACCACACTTTGATCTAATTACGCGACGCATTCGGCAGTCAAAAACGGAGTATGTACAGAAATATTGAGAGATTAATTTTTAGTATATGCGAAAGAACGGACAATGCAAAACTTAGGATAAGCTAAACGAGGGCTGCCAGATTGTTACATTGCAATCATTTGAGTCTTATTTGCAACATAAAATATGTACTAAAAAATTATTAAAACACATATAAATAAAAAAGAAAATAAGTAATATAAAAATAAATAAGTAAACTATATAAAACAAGATAAATGAAATACCTAAAATAAATAAATATATAAATTAAATTAAATAAATTTCATAAGTAAAATAAATAACAAATAAAATTGATAAATAATAAACAAATTGGTAATAAAATATTTAAAAAAAAGTAATATAAATAAATGATAGGTAAATAAATAAAAAATGAATGAAGAAAGTAAATGATAACAAATAAGTAGAAAATATAATAAACAATTTTCGTGACAGGGTTTTCTGGACATTGATCACGAGATGCTGCACAATGAGTCGCTGGGCGAACAAATGGCCGGTTCAACGGCCGTGGTGGTGCTCCTCAAGGATAACATGTTGTATTGTGCGAATGCTGGCGATTCTCGAGCGATTGCCAGTGTAAATGGGGTCGTGGAATGGCTATCATCCGATCACAAGCCGAACAAAGCGCTGGAAACGAAGCGAATCGTGGAAGCGGGCGGCTGGGTGGAATTCAATCGAGTCAACGGCAATCTGGCACTTTCACGAGCACTGGGCGACTTTGTGTTCAAGCGAGCGAACAACAAAAAACCAGAAGAACAAATTGTGACAGGTAATTCTCAGAAAGAATGGCAAACAATTGGCAACAATAATAAACAAAGAATTATTATGTTAAAACAGCCTATCCGGATGTCGAGATACGACAAATATTGCCGGAATGGGAATTCATTGTGCTCGCCTGCGACGGCATTTGGGATGTGATGAGCAACGCGGAAGTCTTGGAATTTTGCCGAACACGCATCGCACTCGGCATGCAACCAGAGGAGATCTGCGAGGAGCTGATGACAAATTGCCTGGCACCCGATTGCCAGATGGGTGGCTTGGGTGGCGATAATATGACTGTTGTCCTCGTCTGTCTGCTGAACAATAAGCCGTACAGTGATTTGGTTGCACGCTGCGGGAACTGCTATAAATCCAGCTATCATCCAGATGCTGTCAATAAAGTTGAAACGGAAGCGGAAACGGCTCTGGTAACGGAATCATGCGATACGCCCATTGCAACGGAACTTTAAAAACAAACAAAAAATCAACAAAAACGACAAACAAAGAAAAACCGGCATTAAATCCGCTGCTGGCAGCACAGCTTTTTTTCCAACAGCGCCTTAAGTACTCTGTACTTTATATGTACTCGCTACTTTAAGTGTACTTAAAGCGACTGTTCTTATTAGTCTCCTGGTTAAGTTTGTGTTACAACTACTCGATGCTCGTCTGCGGACTCGTACTCGATACTTTAATTGTAGTCAATGATCAATATGTGTTTGTGTACTTAAAGCGCCTGCACAAATTGCTGTGGTGAATTACGCGAGTAACGAGTTCGAGTATCGAGTAGTTCTAACGCAAACTTGAAACAGGAGCGAAAGTTCTGCTTAAGTTTGCCTTACAACTACTCGATACTCGTTACTCGTTACACGTACAATCCTCCACAGCACTTTTTGTTTTGTTGCCCCAAAAAATTAATTGCTGTTCAAAAAGTAAGCAAAAAAAAAAAAGAATTGTATTAATCGTTTAGTATTTGTGCATTGAGAAAGTTCGATTTTTTTTGGGTTTGGTCTTTTTAAGAGAAAAAATTTAATATATATATAATATATGTGTATGTACTATGTAATAAAGAGAAAGGTTTTGTAGCGCCCAAGAAAAAAACATAAAAATTCGTTGTAAATTCCATTAAGTAAATTTCGGGATTCAAAGTAGTCGTCGTCATCTATGCTAGAAGCTTTTTTACAACGCAATAATAATATGAGATTTAAAATACACAAAATTAGCAAAAGCCTAAAAAGCTGAGCATGCTTGTTTTTGATTGGTTGGTGGGAAATGTGGTGCGCTGCTGGAACGTTTCAACTTACGTGTTTGGTTGGGAGTGTGGTGAGCTTATCTATGGGCAGCTTCAAACTTGCAACGTTTTGACTTACGTGATTTCCATTTTTATGCCCAGTTGTTGGGTGTGGTGAGTTTATCTATGCCCTAGCTGGAAGTAAGTTGGAACGTTTGGAGTGAGTCTGTTGTTGTTGTGTACACAGCAGCATTTGCTGGTTTATGTTTTTCTTTTATTGGTTGACATGTTTTTCATAATCGTTTCTCGTTTCGTTTCATTTCATTTCGTTTCGTTTCGTTTCCATTTCTTCAGCTAACTACATTTATACTCTACATATGCGCTTTTTTTTTTTGTGTTCTGGTTTTTCTTTTTATTTGATTCTCCTTTATATGATACATACAATAAAATAAAATATGCATTTATGATTTGTTTTGTTTTTTTGTTTCGGTTCTTGTCTGGTTTTTTTTTACTGTTACTTAGCTGTTGTTTTTTAGTTGTTAGCTCGTAAGTATAAATTGTATTTAGTTTTTTATAATTTGTCATATACATTATTATATCGAGCACAAAATTCACTCTTTAACTACACAGAAAAAGTGAATTTTTATTGTGGCTTTTATTTTTTGTTTTTGTCTCAGTGTATTTTGTATTGGTAATGTTTATTATAATGTATTTATACGTTTTTTTGCATAGGGATATTGTTTAGTTAATTTTACGCTTTAGTTTATAGTTTTTAATCATATGCATTTTTTAAACCATTTTTTTTTTCGTTTTCCTTTTTTTCATTACTTTACATTTATCAATTTTGGTACAATTAATATTATTAATTATATACTCTTGATTTTTTTTTTTGTTACAATCATATTTTCCTATATCCATTTTTTTTAACAAATATTTCTCTTTTTGTTTTTTTTTCTTTCTCTTGTTGCATGTTTTTTTTTTTAATGATAACAATAATGTGCGCAAGCATTTCTTCAATATGCAATTAATTTGAACGAAAAAAACAAATAAAAAAGGTGAAGAGGAAGAAAAAGAAAAAAAACATTTCAACTTAATTGAAAACAAATCAAAGTCAACTAATTCAACGCCCGTTTCACAAGGGGCACCCAAGAATAACGCCAACGATGACAAAAAGTAGGTTGTTCCAAAAACTAAAATGATATGATATGAAATATAATAATGGCAGTGCCAAAAAGAATGAAAAATATATATATCCATATTTATATATATATATATATATATATATATATATATATAGCAGGCGTTCATTAGCTGCATATTTATGTGTTTTTATAAGTATATATTAGGGGTATTCACACTCAGTTCAAAAGGACCTGTAGAAAAAATTCTCTTTAATTTTGGACATTTTTTTCTGGCTTTGAATACCTCCAATTTTATATAGTAATATTTATATATATATATATATATATATTTTGTGGCAGTGCCAAATGAAATAATAATAATAATATTGAGGGTAATTCTTCACCCCTTGTGAAAGGCATATTCATGCAAATAATAAATATAATATGCATTCTTCATAATAATAATAATAATAATAATGATAATAATAATAGTGCCTTAAAAGCTGTTTGAAATGACTCTGCAAGAACCAAAAATAAATTTAATAAGGAACATAAAAATTTAGTTTTTAGTTCTGGCTGATTGTGTTTTGAGGATAGTTACAAGCATAAATATGTATATATATATGTGTGTATATATATATATAGTACATATACTAGTTTATTATTATTATTATTATTATTATTGTTTGTTTTTTGATGTTGTATAGTATAACAAGGTGTGTTTTACGTGTCATAATGCGCTGCTTAAAATGTACAAAATAAATAACTTAAGAACTGAGGCTTTACAATAACAATTGAATATTCATTAAGTTTACTTTTTGTTTTTGCCTTAAAATTATTCAACATCAACAATGTTTCTCCCTCTCTCTCTCTCTCTCTCTATTATCTCTCTTCTCCATTTATGCTTGCTTTCAATTCATATCATGTCAATTACGTTTCATTCCATTTAATTTCATTTCGTTTCGTTTTCGCTAACTCGCTCGCTCTCTCTATTTCTCTCTCCGACAAACACCCAACAAAAAATACATGTGAACTGGATGGAGCAGCCTGGGCAGTGGCTGGCGGGAAGGGGGCTTTTCATTTTGATCGGGCAAAATCAATGTTCAAATTTTTTTTTACATGCAATTTTAGAGCTCGTCTTTCTCTTAGTTGCATAATATCACACATCACACTGTTTTCTGAATGCCCTTGCCCCTTGTCCCCCTCTGCATACACCACCCCTGCTCCGCTATTCCCAAAGTAGTCTAAACCCATTTGTTCCAGTTCCAATCGTTCTAATTTACTTTAAGCAGTCGTAATTCGGCGGAGCTAACTTTTCGTATGTGATGGCGAATGTATGTGTGCATCCAACTGTAAAACTGGCCTAAGGTGGTAACCAATTAATTAATCAATGCTTGCAGAATGAGAATGAGGAGGAATAAGGCGAAAAGCGTGTGGAATATGAAAATGGGCGATATACAAACTATAAAACTATGTAGGTGTGTGTGTATGAGGGTGTATGTGTGTACACCACTGAGCAAGGCTCTTTTCAGTCGCAGCAGGAGCTGCCAAGAGAATTAATTAGTACAGCAGCAGTTTTGTGTGTGTGAGAACTTAAAGTAAACAACATTTCATCGGGCCTGCTCAGTGGGCAACATGTTTATATACATAAATTATGTATACACATGTATGTGTATGTATTTAGTATAGGCACTTAGCATATTCGATAGCAACTATATATATGTATATATATATATATACATGTGTATGTATGTATAACTGGGTCTTTTTTGAGGACAACTTGAGGCGAGAGAGTTTTGAAAAAAAAAAACGCTCTGGATTTGGTATATTTGAATCAGTGCCGAACCTCACACTAAATATTATTAGTTTACTAAAAAAAGAAAATTAAGTTCAAAAATTATAATTAAAGGCAATTGGCTTTCATTTTGAGTTGTTTTTGTTGCTTGGAAATGAAGAAGGGGCACGTCGGCAACATTTGTGCCTCTACACCACAAATGTTGCAAGTGTGTGTATCAACTTGCCTATCTTAACTAACAATGCATATATACAATGTATATATACATTTACTAAACATATGTCAACTTAATGTTAAGCTTTATCCTTTTTGTATGTGTGTAGAATATATATATAACTATATATATATATCGTAATCGCTTAGTCTCTAGAGTTTAATGTCTGCCAATTTGTTTTTTGTTTTTTGTATGCCTTACTCTTAATTTACACATGCCTAAAAACTGATTCAACTTCAATCAAAAATAATAATTTTTCAGTTTTGTTGTGCGTGCAAAGTAATAAACGAAAAATTTGAAAGAAAAGTCATAATGAGCATTAGCATTTAAATACAATATTTTCATCATCATCATATTTGTTTTTTTTGTTCGTTTGTTGAGAGAGAAAACAAATTGTAAGAATTTATAACTGTTGCTATAGTCAAAAATATATATATAAATATATATGTATATATATACTATATACATATACATATAAATATATATATATCACTTTTAAATGCCTATTTGTGTTTGTCCTAAAAACCTCAAAAAAATTTCAATGTATTAAAAATTTGTTTGAGTGAGTGTCGAGTGAGTGTTTGAGTGAGTGTTTTGTGTTTAGTTTATGGCACCATTTCTTTGTCAGTGTGTGTGTGTTGTCTATACAAAAATATGATTTGTATGTGTTTGTGTTAGGAGTTAATCGTTTTTTTTTGTAATTTGTAATTTGTTTTTAATATTAGTTTAGTTTTTTGTTGTCTACGCGTTATAAAATTGTAGTTTTTTTATAGCATTGAAATGTATGAAACCATCAAACTGAGAAAATTGCCATTGTTTTTTCTTTGTATGTGGCAGAGTTGCAATAATTTTAAAATGTATGCAAGTATTCTCCCCTAATACATATATAAATGTTTGTTTGTGTGTGTGTGCCAGTCTGTGACTATGTGTGTGTGTGTGTTTGTAAGTACAAAAGAAATTCCCGAAGGCTCCAAAGAAGAAAAATATAAACGAAATAGAAAAAAAAACACAAGACTTCAATATCAGACTAAACTTCATAAAAATATTGTTAAATAAATGTGAAATAAATGGGCGACTAGCGTATATAGTCACCTCTCTAAACCATATAAATATATATATATCTATATAAACATAGGGCTTCATATAGGCTATATATATGACAGATATTTGAAATCTGCACTTATTTTTTTGTTTTGGTAGCAAATGAAATGTGAGAATATATATAAGAAAATTAACACAACTCATGATTGGCATCAGTACATGAGAGTAAATAATGAGAGAGTTTTGTTTTAAGTTAATAATAATAATGCTAATACTACAATTATTATTATTATTTTAGCTAACATTTGCAAATCGGTTACAACTTGGCTTACTCCAAAAATTTAAAGATTACACTAATCGTAAACGTAAACTTAGCTTGGGGCATAATATAATGATTATCCTTCTCTCTCTCTCTCTCTTTGTATATGCGCTAATCCAAATCCTTCCCTAATCGTTGCTCTAATCTACATATGTATTTATGTATGGGTGAGTGTGTATACATGCGTGTGTATGTGTGTGTTTGTGTGTATGTGTATTCATTATGCACCATTATTCCTTTTGCCTACTTCTCGTGTTATTTATTATGATAACTGGTCCAAGCTGATCGTCCCTCTTTAAACTTCAGCCATACGACGACAACTGCAAGTTTAAAATAAACAAATTATTAACAATAATTATATATATATATTATATAAAGATAAATACAGTTGCAAGAAAAATAATATATGATAATAATAGCATCACTTCGAAACAGCACTTTTCTTACGAATGGAAAAAGCAAAGGTTTGATTTTTAATATATTGTTTATAAATAAAAGATTTCTTTATAATCTGTAATAAAAATATATTTATTTTATGAATAATTTTATGTTTTTTTTCCGTGTCAGTTTTTTAATTGAGTCTCCCTTGCATTTCTAAATTTAAAAGTCACACATATCTTGTGAGAGAGTGGTGCTATTATTTTGTTCAACTGTGCAATTGTAGATAATGAACGCAGTAAACTCACCTTATATATGCCTCCTTGGTTAGCTCGTAATAGTAATAATAATAATATCTATAGCGCTTATATAGATATAACAAAAAACGGCTTTCGTTTGCTATTTACACATGGAATTTATGTACAGTAGGATTTGGGTTTGGGTTGGGATTGATTTCCAGGGCGGGGATAGTATTGGAGTGGGGGATGGGTGTGAGGGGGTTGCGGGATTACCATAGGAGTTGGGTGAAGCAATGCACCCTAGCAAAGTAATTTTCACATTTGTCGCATATTCGGCGACTTGCTTTGCTTCTAAGAATTATTTGCTCTCGATTTGCGATTTCCTCCGCCCGAATTAGCATTGGTGTGATGATGATGATGATGTTGATCCGTATTGTTGGATGCTGACGATGATGATGTTGATCCGTAATGCTGATGATGTTGTTGATGTTGCTGCTGCTGTTGATGTTGCGGTGGTTTCTCCTTACTCTGGTGACGCGAACTGCCAGTCAATTGGCCAGCATTTGGTCGCGATTCACGATGGCCGGCGTCTGCAGAAAAAAAAACAAAAAGAGATGAAATGTAATATAGAAAGATAAATATATATAATCAATCTTATAATCTTAAGATATCTAGGATAATGATATTGTTATTATTATCGATTCTATTATTATCGATTATATTCTATTATTATTATTTATAATAATTGAGAAACGCACCCTTATCTTTGGCGCCGCTTTGGCCTGTCTGCTGATTGAGGTTTATTGTCTGTGTGCTGCTGCTGCTGCTGGCTGCCTTGCCACCAGTTGTCGCAGCACCTGTTGCAGTTGCTGTTGTTGTTGCCGCAAAGCGTTTCTCGGTTGTTGCAGTTGCTGTTGCAGTTGCAACTGAGGATGAAGTGGCAGCATCGCCAAAGACCAGCTCCAGCTTGTGGCTTTGGCTGCCCGTGGGCGACAACAGGGCGGCGGCGCCACCGCCCCCCTCTTTGCCACCACCTCCAACCGACGCCGCCGCTGCCTCTGAGTTGACTCCAGTGGCAGCTGCCTTATGATGTTGTGCCACTTGGGCATAACTCAGCTTGCTGGCCGTGCTGCTCGCAGCGGCAGCAGCAATATTCTCCGTGGATGAATTCGAGTTTGAGTTGATTGTGGATGTGGCAACATTTTTATGCTTGCCACTGGCATCCTTGTTATTGTTGTTGCTGCTGTTGTTATTGTTGTTGTTACTGGCGTTGAGCTCCTTTTTGTTGGTTGGCTTCTTGTTGCTGCCGCTGCTGATTTGCAGCTCTTGAAGACCGGCTGTTGCGGTTGCCACGGCGACGTTGCAGGCGCCAGCGCCCGAAATCGTCAAGTGCCCCATGGGCAACCCTTGCTGCTGCTGTTGTTGGTTGTAACAGTCGACAAAGCGTTGCTGCTGCTGTTGCTTGTTGTTGCCGGCGTGTATTGGATGCATTTCATCCTCAGTCTTGTTTAATTTATCAACAGCAGCTGCAGTAGCATCCTCGCCAACAGCAACTGTTGCTATTGTTGGTGTTGCTATCGTCGTCGCATTGTTGTTGCTGTTGCTCAACTTGTTGCTGGCATTGATATTTGGTGTTAGACACTTTATCACATGGATGGGGGGATGATTATTGCTAGAGCTCTGCTTAGCATAGTTTTTAGTATTGTTGCGCGGCGTTGCCTCCTCAGCGGGCACAACGACAACATGTTGCTGATAGTGTTGTGCCAAATGTTGTTGTTGTTGCTGCTGTCTGTTGGCTGCTGCAACAGCTGCTGCTTCTTTGCGACTGGCCTTGCCTTTGCCGGTGCGCACCACATCCGACAAACGATTCTCAGCCCAGTTGGAAGAGTTGTTGCTGTTGTTGTTGGTGGAACTGTGCGCATTGCTGTTGCTGTCGGCATGTTGCTGTTGCTGCTGCTGCTGCTCCACACCACACTCCAGCTGAGCTGGATGTTGATGATGATGAGCAGCAGCTTGGCTGTTTTGATTGGTCTGCTTTTGTGTTGTTGGCGCTGAGCTGTTGGCGTTGTGCATGTTGGCGGATGAAGAGGAAGCAGAGGAGGAGGAAGCTGCGGCTCCAGCGGCAGCGGCATTGTTGCTGTGATGATGATAGGATGAACCGTGTGACGGGCCAGAAGTGGCGGGCAGCGGCGGAAAAGCGCTTGCCTCCAAATCAAATTGCGGTGGTTGTGCTGGGGCAGCTGATTGCTGCTGCTGTTGTTGCTGTTGGTGTTGCTGCTGCTGCTGTTGGTGTTGCTGCTGTTGCTGCTGGTCCAGTTGTTGCTGGTGTGCCTGATAGCCCAGACTGACACCGCCATGATGCAAGCTGCGTTCGTTGTTGCCAGCAGCAACTCCAACTCCACTCGACAAATTGTTGCTGTTGTTGCTAGTATTGCTGTTGTTGCTGCTGCTGTTATTATTGTTGCCAGCAGCAATACTATTGTTGCTGTTGCTGCTCATACCCAGACTGTTGTTGCTGCCAATCGAATTGTGGTGATGGTGATGATGATGATGATGATAGCTGTGGCCCGAACTCTGCTGTTGTTGTTGCTGCTGCTGTTGTTGTTGCTGCCCAGCAGCAGCAGAAGCAGGCAAATGATGTTGCTGCTGCTGGGATTGCTGTTGCAGCGTGTTGTGGCCATGACTGCTGTGATGTGATGAGTGATGCTGCGACATATTTGCCGCATGCTGCTGGGCATGATAGTTGGGATTGTAATTGTTCCCCTTGTAATTGCCACGATGTTGCTGTGGTGGCGCCGCCGACTGTTGCTGCTGCTGCTGTGTGGCATCGTGTGTGCTGTAGTGGCTGCCATCGCGAGCCGATTGTTGCACATTGCTGCTGGACGAGGCGGACGAAGAGGAAAGCAGCTGCTGCGGCGACCCAGCATATAACTGCAAATCGAAAAAGGAGAAAGATATTAGCAAAGATTCGATTTATATATAGCAACATTATAAATTTTTAGCTTAAAAAATAAATTGCGATATTTCGTTTCATGGATCCAATATATATTTTATATTTAATTATTTGGAAAATATCAGATAGTGATATATCTTTATTGTGTGGAACAGGGAAACGACCTATATAATTGATTTATTGGCATTAACAGAAAAAAATCCAATACTATTGCTATTTTTTCTACCGCAGCTAGTAATGAAAAAAACTAAAAATACTCCTTTTAATGTGATAGTTTGAGATTTTTGTTCTTCGCTAATTATTTCATATCCAAAATAATAATGTAAATAAATATACATTCTTTAAATATATTTTGATTAATTATAGCGAAATACTCACATTAACACGACCGCCTCCTGGTGAGTAGCTGAGACCATCCTCATCGCGTCGGCGACGACGCGGACGTGGCTGCCAGTGCAACAGCTGTGGTTGTGGCTGTGATTGCTCCTTGCCACCGCCACCGCCACCGCCAATGGATGTGGCCAACGAGGATGAGGAGCTGGCGGAGATGTTGCTACGAGCGCCGCCATGCGTTGTTGTCTCCACAACAATAATATTTTCAACGCCCGGCAACGCATCTTGGAGCTCAACAACGGGCTGAGCATGGACAAGCAGATGATGAAGTTGCTGCTGCTGGCCAGGTTGCGGTTGCTGTTGCTGCCCTGCAAGCGTTAATGTTGCATGCGTTGCGCTTGCAACGTTTGAGGAAGGCAATTGATAGTGGGTTTGTTGTGGCTGCTGCTGCTGCTGATGATGGCCATGATTGTTGCTGCTGCTGCTGTTGTTGACTTGCAACGCTTGTAACTGGTTACTGCTGTTGGCATAGTGATGATGGCTCTGATTGTAGCTCTTCTCCAGACTCTTTTGCATGCCACCCTTCCAGTTGGTTTTCAATGTGTAACGTGTGGTGCCACCAGCAGCAGCAACCGTGTTGCCAGCAGCTAGCAGCTGTTGCTGTTGCACAGTCTGTTGCTGTTGCAACTGCTGGTGTTGCACCACCTGTTGCTGCTGCTGGCCAGGCTGTTGCAACGGCAACTGTTGTTGCTGTAGAGGATCCACAATCGTTGCTGGCACCACGCTAATGCCACGCATTATAATGTTGCCACCTTGCAACTGTTGCTGCTGTGGCTGTTGCTGCTGCTGTGTCGCATTGTTGCGTGGCGCTTTAATGCGTTGCTCGCCACGTGCAGCTGCAGCACTTAAACTATTGGGATTGTTGCCACGATGACTGCTACTGCTGCTGCCGCTGTTGTTGCTGTTGTTATTGTAGCGACCACCGCCGCCCTGCGGCTTGTTGCTCACAATTTGTGTTGTGGCTGGCGGCGGCGGTTGCGGCGGTGGTGCAGTCGTAAAATTTGCTGCCACTGCTTGTGGTGCTAGCCCATTGGTTGCAAATATATTGCCACCAATCTCATAGAAGTTTTGGCCATGCGCCGCTGTGGCTGCCACAGCAGCAGTCGTCTGCCAAGGGGCAGCCATCAGGCCGGCGTAGAACGGCTGCTGCTGAATGGGCTGCAGAATAAGGGAGTGTTAGACATGGATAGATATATGTCTATATGGATATATACAGTTGCGAAAAATAATATGTAATAATAATAGCAGCTGTTCATTTTCTTCCTTTTTAAGAATATTTAATTTTCTTTCTCACTTCTAAAAACTTATTCATACATTTTTATCTATTATTATTTACTATTATTTGTTTTCGCAACTGTATACAGTATATATAGGTGGATGGAGATACTTACGATCAAGACCTGGCCGCTGTAGGGCACCGCAGTAGGTGCTATGGCTGCACCATTTCCAGTATAGACGAAACGCTGTGGCGCCGTATTGTAGCTAACTGCAGCAGCTGCAGCAGCGGCAGCAGCAGCCGCAGCCGCACCAGCTGCCGCAGCTGGATCGTAGACGGCGGCAGTTGGGGGTGAGTTGAGGCGATAACCGTTCTTGATATTTGGTACAGCTGCGATGCGATTGATAAACGATTTGGGCTTTATGCGTGCCATAATCGGTTTACCCTGAAACTCCTTGACCTCCTCCCGTAAATATTTATACGCCCGCTGCGCATCCTCATCCGATTCGAAGGTGATGTACCATGAATTGTTGGCAGCAAACTCACACGAGATGGGACGGGGACAGTGCTCACTGCTGAACAGCGCCTGGCAAATACAAAAATTCAAGAAAAATAAATACATATATATATAGAGCAATAGGTGATTGGTATAAGCTACAAAGATATATATTATATATATCAAAATAAAAGTGATTTTTATTTAAACATTAAAGTAACGAGAACATTCAATTTGCCGAACCAAGATCGTGGATTGTTAGATAAATTACAAGACTACGTTTTTAATAGCAGAGATAGCAGAAGCAAAAATTATTAATATATAATCGCATTATAATTTGAGCACAAGATCCGAGATGTGCGAACCACAAGTTTGAGAATAGAAAGAGTTAATAAATTTCTTATATTTCTAATCAGAGCTGCAAGTAAACTTTGAAAACTGTCAAAATCAGTTTGTAGCCCTTTCGCCAGAAAAAGAGCTAGTAGAAAAAAAACTGGCAAAGTCTTACATCATCAGCACCCGAGAGTGACTTTCATTTTATAAGCAAAGTGAATAAATAAGGGGCCAAGGTTACATCCTTGTTACGCCGGCAGTAAATTGAACAGACTTTAAAATTAACTTTGTGTTCGAAGAGAGTAAATTGTTATTTGGAAATTACTGAAATAATATCCCTTTACATTTGGAAGAAGTTAAGCTTAAGTTTGTGAATTAAACAAAGAGTGATTTTATATGAGAGAAAATCCTTACGTGGATAGATAGTAGAAATAACACTTTGTTAACAACAAAAGAAATGAATTCTAATAAGTTAGTGGTATGTAGATCTACATTTCATGAACCTATGCTGTCAAAGCATTGAATCAAGTTTCTACAAAGATCATGTTTCAGAAGTTACATCTATAATGCTCAAAATTATAATTTGATTTGTTGGCTTCAGCTATATTTAGATATATATATATATCTAATTAAGTTTAGTAGTTATTCGGTTATTGTCTCTACGGCTTTCTTTACCTTGACATCATCGAGTGGCGTGTTGTCGGATATTTCGCGCAAAATGATGATGCAACGTTTGTGATTGGGGCGCACGCGCAAACCATCGTCATCCACCTGAACGTTGGGCGATTCGCGCAGCACATCGGTAATCAAATTGATGTCCTTGGTTAATTTCTTAACAAGATTAAAATTGGCCACTGTCTTGATGAGCACATATTGATCGCTATCCATTTGCGATACCAGATAAGTATCCGTTGCTAGATTCTCTCTGCAAATGCAAATGATTTTAGTAGAGTTGGAGATAGGAGGAGGAGGTGGAGATAATTTCGACTTGGTCAACTTACCTGCAAAAGTAATAGTCAAGCTGTGTGGCCAGCATTTGCTTGAGCTTATCCAGCGGCATGCCGCATTCATCTGCCGCTAGCTGATGTTGCTGTTGCTGCTGTTGTTGTTGCAGCAACTCTACCGATTGCTGCTGTTGCTCGATTGCAACTAAATTCGTATTGTTGACGCCAGGTACGAGGGCCGTCGCCTCTGTTGTTGTGTAGCAGACAAGATTGCCATCGGGTGTCTGAGCCAATGCTCCATTCATGATGGCAGCGGCGTATTCACTACTGTCGATTGCTGTTGCTGCCACTGATGTGCTGTCGGCAACACTCGACGACGACAACTGTTGCTGCTGAGCGTACTGCAAGTGAGCAACGCCGGGATGATGATGTGCCGGTAGCAAATGCACTGGCGTTTGAATGCTCTGCGTTGATTGTTGTTGTTGCTGCTGCTGTTGATGTTGCTGCTGTTGGTGTTGCTGCTGTGCGGCTGCTGCTGCGGCTGCAACTGCCACAGCGTGAGCGTGAGAGGCGTGCGTGATGAGCTGTGGATGCTGCTGTTGTTGCAAATGCTGTTGTGCCTGTGGATGTTGCTGCTGCTGCTGTTGTGGATGCTGTTGCTGTTGTTGTGCTGTGGGCTGTGTTGCTACTGAGGCTGGCAATGCTACTGTTCCTGCTGCTGCTGCTGCTCCTGTCGTTGTTCCTCCTCCAACTCCACCTGCTGCTGCTGCTGTTATCAAGGGTATGTGGGCTGCTGTTGCTGCTGCTGCGGTGGCTGCTGCTGTTGTTGGTGCTGTCGCGATTTGTGTCGGCGTGCCAAACAAATTGGTGGCTAACATTGCCGTTTCAACAGGAACATTCGTGTAGACGGGCGGCTGAATTTTTACCGCATCTCCATTCATATAAACGTATCCTCCTACGGAAAGAAAAGAGAGGACAAAAATAAATGAATAGAAAGCCAAACAAATATATATATATAGATATAGATACTATTATTTATATTTATTAAATAATCAAATTTGGACATGTGTGAAATAGGCAAATGAATTAGTGTGTAGACTAAACAAGACTTTTATTAAAAAATCAAATGTGTATTAAATAGGCAAGTAAATTTAGAATTGAGACTAAAAAATGAATGAATGAATGAAAAAAATGGACAAACAAATTAATATGAAGTCTAAGTAAGATAATTATTAAATAATCAAAACAACTTAGCGTAAAACAGGCTAATAGATTTAGAATTGAGACTAAACAAGAAAATTATTAAATCTAGACTTGTGTAAAATACGGTAATAAATTAGTAAAAGAACTAAAAATCACAACAAGAAGATGTAAAACATTCAAATAAATTAGAAGAGTAATCAAGAGTATTATTAAATAATTTAACTAAGACTTTCAAAACTTCTGGAAATTGATAGCTGATAGCTATAGCTTGTTTATAAATAATTAAATAATGCCTTGCAATAGCATAGTAAATGACGACACAAATTGCCACTTATCAAAGTTTAAAGCAATTACTTTCTTTTTTTTATAGCACCTTAAACACAAACATTGAGGTAGATTTAACAAATAATACATAATATTAAATTATTAAAAAATCAAATCAAGACTAGTATGAAATTAGCTAATTAATTTAGAATTGAGAGTAAAATAGACAATTATTAAATATACAAATCAAGAAGGGAAATAATTTACACATGACAGTTTATGAAATAATTAATCAAAGACGTACTTAAATTAGGCAACATAAAAATTAGTATGAAGACTAAACAAGAGTAATTTAAAAAAATCCAAGTAGGTGTAAAATTGGCAAATAAATTATAAATTAGTCTGAAATCTAAATAAGTCAATTATTAAAATAAGACGTTTGTAAGAATTCTGAGAATAAACAGTTGAACTTGCAATAATTTGTTTACAATTTTCAATTCGTTTGTTTATAATTAATGACGACTCAAACTTCCATTAATAAAAATTGTAAATTAAATACATTTTTTTTTTAATACAAATCTGCTTCAATTGAAATTGGGTATTATATACAACATTTCTCTGGCGAGACGTGATTGCTATGCATTTGCCACAATATGTAATTAAATTGCACAAATAAACAATTAATGTGTACAGATGCCGTCAGCTAAATTTGATCCTAAACATAACCACAAAATTGATGAGGGGAGAGTTGGGTGGTGTGTGTAGTTAAGGGGCAAGTGTGGCTGCCTGCTTGTAAAAAAAAAAAAACTTATGCTTTTTTGGCCTCACCTTAAAGTAAATGCAGCAAATATATATAAATTTATATGTCTGTATGTGTCTATATGTATGTGTGTATATAGGTATGTGTGTATATAGGTATGTGTGTATATATGTATGTGTGTATATATGTATGTGTGTATATATGTATGTGTGTATATATGTATGTGTGTATATATGTATGTGTGTATATATGTATGTGTGTATATATGCATGTGTGTAGATATGTAATTGTGTATATTTATGTGTGTATATACGAATGGGTGTGTATGTATGTATGTTTGTATATATGACGACGATGTGTATGTATGTTTGTCTATATGTTCGTGTATGTTTTTTTTTACAAATATATGCATATATCTACTTATAAGTGTGTATGTGCTTTTATATACTCACAAACACACACAAACACATGAGGGTGCATTGTTTTGCATTTCCATGTTTAAATAGCCCGCACATATATATATATATATTTATAAATCTTTTCTATTGAAATTTAAAACATTTCTACTAACCTAGGTAATATTCCATGGTAACGTATGTTGGGCAATTGTCAAGAAATCCACACGCACACAGAGATACCGACACACACACACACACACAGCCAGGCACACACACACACAGGCACACAAACACACTTAAAGACACAACTCGGCTCTTCTTCTTTTGCTTCTGCTTTTTGCTTACTCCTCTTTCAAAAAAAAAACTTGCACAAACGTCAAACGCACACACACACAGCAGACACCACACACACTCACTCAGGCTTGCACTCGCTCAGGCAGTCATACACACACACACACAGCGGCGACGGCTGCGGCTGCTGCTGGTGGCAGCCAGCTGAGACTTTTTTTAATTGGAAATTTTTTGATTTTCACTTGTTATACTGTTATACTAGATTCTAGCTTATTGTATGAAACTTGATTACAGTTCCAAATTGCACCAGCAGTGCTTCTTCTTCCTCGCTTTGTGAATATTTTATTTATTTATTTATACTTTTGGCTATTGCTGCTGCTGTTGTTGTTGTTGATTCTGCCTCATTCTCGTCTTATTTTATTGCAACTTCGTCGCTTTAATGACTTAATTTTTGTGTGCTCTCATTAAGTTTTCCTTTTGTGGCTATTTTCGTTTTTCTTCGCCTTCCTTGTTTTCTTCTTTTTTTACGCAGAATAAAAATTGAACTAGCAATTGATTTTTTTCCCCTTTTTTCTCACGCCCGCCGCACCAGCAAAAAGTTGTTCAAACGAAACACCTGATTTTGTTGCAAACAAATTGTTTTTTAAATAAATATTATTAATATACTTATTTTTCCACACACACAAACAACGACGACGACGAATTCGTCACGCGAAAACTCTTTTTTTGCTAAAGCCAAAAATTTTGACGTCTCATCGCTTATAGAAAAACTTTCGCCCGTTCCATTTTGTCAAACGTTTCGATACGTTTTGCACACACGGTTGCATGCGGCGAAAAAGACACAAAAAAAATGACAACTGAGAAGGCAAAGCGAAAAAACAATTGCAAAAAATTCGCGCACGCTTTTTGAATATTGAATATTGACAATGATTTACGCTGCTTTTTAACTTAATAACTTATTTTTAATCAGTGAAACGTTGGAATTGAAATATTTGGCTGCTAATTAAACTAAAATGCAAACGACGCTGTGTCGAACAAATGTCAAAAAAAAAGAATGAATGGCTAAAAATAATAAAAATGTACTCACCACGTTGCGAAATATATCATTTAAATATATATTTGTATACATATATAGATGTGCGGTAATTATTTTCTTTGAATTGAGAAAAAAACCACTTGTTATGTGTGTTTTTGTTCTTCTCTCTTCTTCTTCTCAGCTCGCAGCATTGGCAATTTGTGCGCACATAAACGGAATTGAACGTTTTTGTCAAACGTATTGTTAGTCAGAAATGCACACAACCAGAATTGTTTACCTTACGTTTAATATAAAAAAAAACTCAATTGTGATTTATGATTTAATACACTCTTTCTTTCTGCTGTCGTCAAAAACTATGTGTGGCTGTGGTGGTGAAGCGATAGGCAATGTTGTTTCTCCGATAGATAGGCAGCATTGCAATTGTTCCAGCATCGATATGTGTGTACAACTCCTGTGTATTACATATATCGATAGTGTATTCATCGTCAGTGAGACCGTTTTAAAATAACGACTTATCGCATTTAAATGCGAGTGTCAGCATGAATTGTTATAAATATTTATATTTACCGTGTAAAATGTTACATATATATCGATATTGCCATATTGATATTAATCGTCAACGAGACTATTTTTATATCCTTCGTAAAATAGTAAACATTTTTTGTTTATAGATTTTTGTTTTTTTTTTTAGGATTTTGGTGCATAACTAAGGCGCCTGAATATCATCCGATATTTTTTTTTAAATATGTTATAAAAATGGCGGCTGACGGGAATTAACACTTGGGCAACCTTGGCACTTATTTTGTTTTTGGCATTGTAATTTTATTGAAATTACATTTGATGATTAAATGAAATAAACATTGGACAATTAATTTGAACATTTAATTTTATTTAACTTGTATGATTAACATTGTTCGTAGTAAATGGTCTATTGTTTTTTACTTTTTATGTATCGTTTTTTCTTTCATTGGAACAGAGAACTTTAGCAATTTCGGTGTTTATATATATATATATATATATAATATATATGTGTGAGTGTGTTATTTGTGTGTGTGTATATGTATGGAAATCCACACTTTGTTTTTGCAGCAAAGCTTAGAAGCCGTGGACCTTTAACTGGTCAGGCTTGGCGAGTCCCACCTTGGTCAACCATTGGCAGATGTTTTCACGTTGATCGCCCTGCAATTGCAGAACTTCACCATACTCGGGATGCTCAATCACAGTCCCATTACAAGCAAATTCCTAAAAATAAAATAGATAAGGAGCATAAGTCAAAATAAAATATATAAAGAACATAAGTCAAAATAAATAAATAAAAATCAAAACAGATAAGCACACAAATCAAAATAACTAAATAAAAATAAAAACGATGAAGCATAAATCAAAATAAAATAGATAAAGTGCACAAGTCAAAATAAATAAGTAAAAACAAAAGGCATAGATAATAATAAAATAGATGAGGAGCATTAGTCAAAATAAATTGATTGAAAAATCAATATAAATAAAATATAAATGTATTAGATAAAAATAAAATGGATAGAGCATAAATAAAAAAAAAAAATACAGGAAGGGCGTAAATAAATAAATAAAAATAAAGTGAAGAGCATACATACAAATAAAATAGCTAAGTCAAATTCAATTAAATTTAGCATAGTTTACCTTTTTACAGGACCGGACTATTTTCTTCAAGTCATATTCAGCGGATAAGCCCTGAACAGTGGTCAATGTCTTGCGACCGTTCCTCTGCTGGATTCTTATGTGGACAAGTCCGTCTTGAATGTCATCATCATTGCCCTTGATTGCATCAGCAAAGGGGTCTGAAATAAGTAATATATTCAATCATCTACTATATGAAAAAATCACTACTCACACACACATTTATATATAATATACTGCACTTTTGTATATACGTATGTGTGTGTGTGTGATGACTAGACTAGCCCCAAAAACGAGCAGCCATTTTTATATATACACACACACAAACATAAATACGTCCATGTGTGCAAAATGGAAATAAAAAGAAAACGCGTGCTTACCACGAGTGTTTAAATTCTGGATGGACATACGACAATAAAAAGAAACTGCAGCCTAAAATAAAAAACCTTTTTCAAACGCAGTAAATACGATTATGTACTTTAAATTGTAATTTAACTTTCTTGTTTCTTTTTTTGTTTTATTGCGAAGAGCTTCGAAAATGTGTCTGACAAATAGGGATGGCTCTAAATATCGATACAGTTGGGCAAAGACACACACGATATGTGTCATTGCCGTCGATATATCGTTGCAATAGCAAGCCTGCGTGCGCTTAAGCGCAGCCAACTTCACGTTTCTCTCCGGCTGCCATATTTCTTTCCTGCTTGTCTTTCAACGAGAAAAGGTGGGCATTTTGCAATTTGTGCTGTTTTAGTTAAGTTATAAAGCTGCCAAACTTTAGTGAATGGCACAAAAATGTACCGGATATATTGATTGTTATAAATGAAACCAAATTTTGGCATATTAATTGCAGCTTGTGGAGATAAATGGTAAAATTTGATGTGTTGATTTCACACGTGTGTTGAGCAGAAGCAGCTGAAAAATTATGATGATTGATTTTGGCGGAAGAGTTCTTGAAGACTAAATTCATCACCCAAGACTGACTTTGAAATATTTCTAAATAAATAAATAAACTGCATAGATGCATATTAATTATTTGTATTTTAATTTTTTTTAATTTCATATTTGTTGCTGCTGTTGCTTCTTCTTGGCTATTCCATTTTGGTTGATCTTAGGTGAGAAGCACATGGAGAAATTTTAGTGAGCAAATTGTAAAAATGATGAATGATTTTGGCTGAAGAGTTCTTGATGACCATATTCATCACCCAAGACTGATAAATATTACTCACTAAAATTACAAATTGTTTGAAACTGCTTACCATTGAAAACTAACTTTATTTTTTGCATTTTCATGTTCATGCTGCGCCTTTTGCTGCCACCAATTGTTGCATGGAATAATAGGTAAAGTGTGTTGCTGATATGATTTTAAATATTTTTTTTTTTTTTTTAATGATGACCAACCTGTTTTATGTCGCGGAAGAGTTCTTGAAGACTATATTCATCACCCAAGGCTGAATTTAAGACTAATTGAAGAACTCATCCATTTCTTTTCTAGACTATATATTATATTTTCTCATTGCAGACGTACGATGGCAACCTCTTCGCACCTAAATTGGTTGATCATTCGCAACAACAACGCCTTCTTGTTGAAGAAGCGCGATGTTAAGAGACCTTTTAGCACAGTAAGTCGATTAAAAATACCCTTTTGTTTTTTTTTATTTTCTCGTTGAATGATGTTTGCAATTTATAACTTTCACAATGATATTTGAATACAACATGATAGTAATATCAAATCTGACAGAATAATTTGAATTTACATGTTATTTAGTGCTGTAAATTTACTAGTATTAATCAATATGATTTTTCCTTTATTTTTATAGGAGCCCAACAACTTGACCAATGTCAGCTCTTTCCGCTATAGTGGCGTGGTGCACAAGAAGACGCTGGGAATTGTGCCTGCTGGCGATAAGAAGGGTTTCACCGCTGTGCTGAGGAAGGGCAAATATGGCCAGCGTCCCGTCAAGAATACGGTGCGTGTTAATTTCAATGCTGGACCACGTCGCTCGCTCAAGAAAATGAAGAACCTGCTGACGGGCTCCAAATACCGCAAGGATCTGACACAGGTATAGTCGTCATTCGATATAAGATCTATTCTCTTGTATATATAATATATAGATTTTGTATTTGATCGTATGTGATGATATCTTTATTTTACTACTACACCAAGATCGCAGAAGATTCGTGTTGAAACAATTATCTGATTTACTATTTAAAACACACTTTATTTATTGATGAAAGCAACAAAATATTAATTCTTATTTTTTAATTGCAGGTAAACACTGAAAAATATTTAATGCTCTACAAAGCGGAATATGTGAAATGAAATCATTTTTACTGTCCTCCGATGATGAAATCTATTTAAATACTACCAAGATCGCAGACTGTTTTGCTGTTGAATATTCTTTGCTGATGTCACTCTCCAAATGAACTATTATACGTATTTTATTATTAATTTTAATTTATATATTTAATCTCTCTCGCTGCAGGCTGCTCTCCGCCGTGCTTCAGCAGTGCTGCGTTCCCAAAAGCCCGTGCAGAGCAAGGCCAAGAAGCCCGTTCAAATGTCGGCCAAGAAGCCCGAATAAATATTTGTGTATCTGCCTGGGAAATTGAGTTGTTTTTTCTACTCAAGAATAAAAAATACGTTAAAATCCGAAAAATAAATGTTTTGGTTTTTAAGCAGAAGAATTTTAATTTTAATGTATATATTTTGATTTTAATATGCATAGTTTTAGCAGTCACTGTTTCCCAATTATGTTGTCAATTGTGAAGAGCGTTGTTTGCTTTGATCTGTTGCATGTCCCAGCGGCAGCCGAGCTCAACTCGGACTCTGACCCAACTCCAGCGAGTGGCGGCGTACTGAAAGCGCTCGGGGAATGTGGATCTTCTGCAGCACTTAGAGCTGTTCGACTGGAGCAGGGACTGTCTGCTCTACTGGAAGCTGTGGGGGCATCTCCACTGGCAAAACGTGGCTTGTTGTTGAACAGATTGTTGAAACCAAAGGAAACCGATAAATACTGACGATGCAGCTCCGTAATCCGATCCGAATAGTTGGGCCGGAGTGCAGCGGCTCCCGCTGCATTATCACTGCAAAATATATCAAAGTCGGGCAGGGATTCACTGGTGGATCTTAGCTCGCCTTCATTGCTACCCATGGAATCCTGCCATTAAATATACAGATAAATAAATAAATATATGTATAATTTTGAGCTCCTTGAGGGTTTTGCCTCTCACCTTGCCCGTTTCCCTGTCGTAGCGAGTTGAGCTGCTGATGCAGTGCCTCCGCCTGGTGCGACGGCGGCGATAGTTGCCCTGCTCGAACATGTCTGTGGCGGATGCGTCCAGCATCCAATAGCTGCCCTTGCCAGCGCTATCATTATCCTCAATGGTATTCTTGTCCCGCGCCACCTTCACAAAGCAATCGTTGAGCGACAAATTGTGCCGAATGGAATTCTGCCAGCCCTGTTTATTTTCACGATAATACGGAAACCTGGAAAAGTACAAGTACAAGTTGAGGTCGGGTTGGCTATAATCCATGCAGATCTTAAGTCAAAATCATTGACCCCTTTTGGAGATGCGCCAAAAATAATTGGACGTCAGAACTAATTCAAAATTGTGGCGACATTGCTTACTGCTACTTATATACGTGCTCAGGAATTATATATTTATTTTAATATGATAATATTTATACGTATTTTAATGGCAAGTTAAATGCTTATATACACACAATTTAGATCGGATTTTACATGTTTGTATACCCTTGCTGGGGGTGTTATACTTTTGGCGGTGATCAGAATTAATACAGGAATCAAAATATGTATAGACATTTATTTTCTTTAAATTATAGGTATTTATTGTATTTTTTTATATATTGTTTATATATAGTATTGTTAAAATAAGAAAAGTTTTGTGGAACCGTTAAATATTAATCTTCCTTACATTAATCATATTTTGGAGCTGCTGTTTTTTTAAAATAATATTTAGAGACATCAGAAATGAATTCAGTCTGAGCATTTTGACCATGAAAGAAATTGGATTAGGAATATCTTTATTTTTGCTATGTAGATAAATTGAGCACACTTTGGACATAGTCTGCTTTTCATTAATATTTCCAAATGCATTTCAAAAATGAATTTAGTCTGAGTATTTCGACTATGAATGGGACTGGAATTAGTAATTTCCAAATTTTTGGTATGTAGATAAACAGATTTACCTCTGTTTAAATTTGGATTATAATTGACAGTATTCACATTTTTGCTATATGTATAAATAGGTTAAGCACATTTTGAATCTACTCAAAATAAATATTGTAAGTAATATTTAAACTGTTATAAATTTAGTCTGAGCATTGGAATATCTGGAATATAACTAGCATCGATTGCTGATTATATAGTAAGGAATACACTCACTTATCCATGATGAACTTGTAGATGCCGCTGAGCGTTAATCTCTGGCTGGGAGCACTGCTGATGGCCATGGCAATCAGGGCTATGTAGGAGAAGGGCGGCTTCTCCGGTCGATGATTGTTGTGCAGGAATGAGATGGGCAATGTCCAGATATTGTTCTGCAGTGCCAGCAAATTATCCATGCCCTGGTAATAGAATGCCGAGGGGAAACCAGCACATGCCAATGCTCCTCCATCCATCATATTCACAGCTCCGACGGCATTGCCAACCAGCGGATTATTGCCACGCAAATAATCCGGACATCCGAGCAATGTGTTGACCAGTTGCTCATTATCTTGGATAGATGTGGATGCCGTATAGCAGGAGGTGGGCAGCATCTTTATTTAATTATGTGTTTTTATATTTTGTTTATTAATTGAATATTAAATATTTCTTTAGCACTTGCTTTCTTAGTAATTTGTATATAGTATGTAATTAGATATTTATTTAATGAATATTAAATTGGAGTACACTTCGTGGCACAAATTAAATATTTAATATTAACATTTGTATATTAATTAGTATTCAAATTGAATACACTTCTTAGCACCTCGTTGCTCAGTAACTTTTTCTACACTGTGTAATTAGATATTTGTTTACTTTTTGTTTATAAATGAGTATTAAATTTGAATACACTTTTTAGATCTTGTGTTCTGAGTAACTTTTATAGAGTCCTTATATGGGACAACTTTGCTAAACTTTACTACAATTCTTCACTTTTATTGCGCAAGGAGTTTTCTCAAGATACTTCCGATTGTAAAATAATTCCTGAGTGATCCGCACGCGTCTCGATCTGTAGCGTCCGCCAAGAAGTCCGATAGACAAATAAATGGATTTTGTGGGCTGGCTATGGAGGATAGTCAAAGAGATCTAGAGAGAGAGAGAGAGAGAGAGTTATAAATAAATAAATAAATGTGTGTGTGTGTGTGTGATGAGTATGCAAATGAAAAGGCAAAGAGCAGAACAGAGAGAGAGAGAGCAGCACTCATTGGATAAGAATCAGGCTAGGATTATGTATAGCTGGAATTACAAGTAGTTGATCGATATTTGTTGAAAATGTCTCCCAAAGTCATCAATCCACAATCATCTTTGGTGTGCTCATCAAAGAGTTCTTTGAAATATTTGCTTATATCCATTATAGGTTTAAAGCAGACTTTTCATTGGTCGACTAAGTTCCAGTAGGGGCGTTCATCTTACACACACACACACACACATTAATTTTAAGATCTTTGCTCTTTCTTGTTTTCGTTTTGTTTTTCATGGGCGGAGTCAACGAATGCCGCGTGGGTGTATTCAAAGTGCTCTTTTATTTGTGGTCTATATACATTTGTAATTATTTCAACAAATGAAAATTGAGCAAAATTTTAAGGCAAGCAAAACTAGCTCGATTGATCTTTAAACAACGTTATTTTTGGTAGCTTTAAAAACGCTTCTTGTTTATTTAGAGAATAGTAAACTAAAAGACGGAAATCAGCATTTAATTTAGTACAGCTTACAAATTAAACAATTAATTAATGAATTTGACTAAACAGTAGATTAAATATTTGAAAAATATCTATTTAATATGAGCCTGAGAAATACTATATCTCGGCATTTATTTTGAGACCCGTAATCTAAGAGTTGAAAAAATTTAATTCAGTGCAGATTGATACAATTATTTTGTGAATTTTGAGTAAAAAGTATATTAAATATTTCAAAATACTATACTATAAATTATCAATTTATGTAGTGATGTTTGACTAAACACTAGAAATAGTTGAATATTTCAGAATAAATAATATAAAATAAAATTTGAGCCTGAGAGCAAGTTTATCCTCTCATTTATTTAGAGATCAGTAAATGAAGAGCCGCAAATTTAAATTCAATTTAGTACAGTTTATATTAACAATTATTTTGTGACTTTTGTGTAAACAGTAGATTAAATATTTGAAAAGTATCTACAAAATATGAGCCTAAGAGCTAGTTTATCTCGGCATTCCTCAGCGATGCCGCTATCTGGAATATAATCCATAATTTCCTTTTGGATTTTTATGACCTTTCACAAGTACTGCATTTTTACTCTGATTTACTTGCTCTGAGTTCGGTGGTAAATGAAAGTCTTTTGCCATATCGCACAGAAGGTCGTAAAAACGATGTTGTATACATTTAAAACACAGGACTACGATCGATTTTACGACTTTACGATCGAGTATCGGCCTGTCTCAAGTAGTGGGAAAGCAGAGACTCATTTAAGGGAAATAAAAACAATAAATACAAACCAATTGAAGTTGAGTTTCACTACACACATGTGTCTTTGTGACTCTGGCTCTATGATCTGTGAACTCGCAAATGACACAAAGGATTTTTCACGCTATCTCTTTCTCGTTCTGTCTCTCTCTCTCTCTCTCTCTCTCTCTCTCTCTCTGTGTCTCCTTCCATTCATGAAGTTGATTTTACGATCGCTTACCGCGGCCAAAATGGGTCATAAAACAATGGGTTATCCTAGAAGAAGAAGTAGTTGGGCAGACTATGCAGCTATGCAAAGCACGTCTCTGGGATCTTCTGCTTTTGTCTGCCCGGAGTGGGAGTAATTGTTCTTTACACTCAGAGAAAAAAAATCAACCTGAATAAGTATTGGAGAGTTTTTCTTCTTTTTTGCAATCATTTCTAAATATAAGAAAATAGTTTTTTATTAGAACGGATTACCCTAAATAATTAAATATTTAAATTGAAATTGAAAAAGAAAATAAATATTAGCAACATTGATATGACATTTAAATGCAAAATGGGAAAATCATAGAAAAAATCCAATCAGTCCAAACAAATTTGATTAGCCCTGTAAAATAAATGATATCACTTTTGCTTATATGTGAAGTCTAAATATACGAATGTTTAATCATAATATAAGTAACATATAAGCAAATATAACAAGTCTTCTATGGACAGTCGCAAATACCCTGGAAGTTAGACATATTTTTTTCTAAAGGATAGAGGTAAGGAACCCTTGGCGAGTTTCTAAAATTCAGAGTGATTTCTTTTGCTGAGTGTAGTAGTTCTCGCATGTCCCTGTCATCTGGTGCACTGGTCTGGTCTGGTCTGGTTTGGGTTTGATTTGCTTTGGTTTGGATTGCTTATTTTTAGACCTATGCTGGGAATAGTATTGGAAACAAATAGATTTCTTTTTATTGCCACGATGCAGCACGCAAAAAGCAAACATTCCCAACAAGTCTGAAACAAAAACAATGTTTTTATTTGGCTTCGAGCTGATCAATGATCAGTCGACAAGTCGACGACGAGTCAACGCTAAGCCATAAAACGCCCAACCGACTGTTTTGTTTAGTTGATCGCTATGGCCAACCGCAAGTTAATCAAACCAACAACAGAAAACAACAGAGAAACACACAAAACAATTGCAATTATAGTTTAGTGCGTGACATCTTGCCGATCGATGCTTGTCTTGGGCCTGATTTATGACCGGGTCTCCCTCTGATCCCATCACATATGTAAGCATGTTTCCCCCATCCCTTGGAAAAGTCAACACCTTGTCAAAATTTGATTTGCTCACTCCGCGTGCAGTTGCATCAAAATTAAATCAAAACAACAAATCATAGATCATCCCCCACATTTGCCCCATTCCCTGTCCCATTCCTCCTGCCCCATTCTGTGGCTGCTCAAAACAAGAGCGATTTGTCAAAACTGCCTCGCGTCGCGCACCAAACATTAACAACAACATCTATTACACTCGGAAAAAAACCAACTTTGAATTTCAGAAATTGGCCTTATTATTCAGCAACAAATATTAGATAATTTTACATTTAAATACCCTCTGAAATCCTGAATTTTTTCTAAGAATCCATTTCTTCAAAATAGAAAATATCGATATATATGTTTAGAAATTGATTTCTTACGAATAAAAAATATTTCTAAAAACGTTTAGAAATTAAGAACATAATTTTGGGTTTGTCAATTCGGGGCAATCATTTCGAAAAACCGGAAAAACTATTTAGTTTTGAGGTGAATCTTTTGCTGAGTGTAGTGTTGGCTATTTATAGTTGGTGCCGTTAAATGCAGCACAGCAAGTAGGGTGGAGGATGGATGGTGGAGGTAGGAGGGAGTAGAGCCCTCGACAGGGCTATTAGCTGCGTGCTGTTGTTTGACAACAAATACAAGCAGCAATATAAAGTGGCATTCAACACAGCCTCAACAGACTCAGCCTCTGCCTCTGCCTCAGACTCAGACTCATCATCATCAATGTTGTTGTTGCTGTTGTTGCTGTTGTTGCTGTTGGCGGCGTTACACATCATTGACAGCAAATTATCCACATTACCTGAATTGTCAGAGCGGGCGCCCCATTTAGCCATTATGGCGGTGTGAACGTGACCTTTGCTGGCCATTAAATGGCACACTTTGAGTCGCATTTGTTTGCTGCTGGCTGGCAACAGCCTCCCGGAATCGGAAATTTATGCGATTCTTGACACTAGTTGCGTGGCATAGCCCCTCTCTACCCCATACACCTCCCCCCTCCCCCGTCCTTTGCCTCTTTATTAGACATTCAGGCTTGTTAAGCAGGCAGGACTCTCGATATAAACTCAAAATATGCCAGCCATAAAGTGGCTATTGACCTGTGCAGACATGCACAATGAAATCTTCCAATTGCTGGGCTTATTGCCAGGTGAACAGCCAATAGCGAACAGCTAACAGGTGAAGGCATCGGGACTTGGCAGACATAACTAGCATATATATATTTAACTGGGCAACAGAGCAAACTATACAACATTCAAAACTCCTACTCACAAATTTTATTATTACTTATTGTTAACCATCGAATTAATACTATGAAGGCTATATCACGCATAGGTTCAATTTTAATCCCTTTATTTTGTCATAATATTGCGCGCCTAATAATAGGTTGGCAGGGTTTTTACAGGAGTTTCGACCCCAATTCAAGTACTGATCTTGAGCTCAAGCTTTGACCTTTACAAAATCCATTGAAATTTGAATAAGTTATGATAATGCTAAGTTTGGACCCATATTTATATGACGAATTTTTTGGCCTAAGAATTTTACATGACTTTCGACTCAGAATCCCGTTTCGAACTTTAAATGTAGTATTGATCTAGAGGTCAAACTATGACCAAAATGCCATTGGTTTTGAAAATCGGGTCAATATTGACAAAGTTATGGCTATGGGAAGCTGAAACCCACGTCCATCTTCTATTTTTTGTCTACAATTTTGACATGATTTGTGACCCAAAATCACGTTTCTAAATTTAAATGTAGTATTATTCTATAGGTCAAACAAAGATCAAAACGCCCTTCCTTATCAAAAACAGTTGAGTTTCCACAAAGTTATGGTTCT